TTCTGAGGAGGAGAGTGCTGACCTCCGGCGCCGGAAAGACTTCAGTAAAAACGCCGCCAATCTGGTTGCCGACGCTGCGGTCCATCGACACTTCTGATCGTATCGTTCTGTACAGCACTTCTCGAAGCATACAGCATGAACGATTGGACTTCCGACTTGAAACGTGTTCTTTTTGGTTCGTTTTGGGGTTCGCTGGGCCCTTCGAGTCAAAAACACGTGAGCCATGTGAGTGAGCTGTTTGAGCTTGGGGGAAATCGTCACAACTGGTGGCTGGCAGCCAGCTATTGGGCTGGCTCCTTTGCTCCCTGCTTACAGTTTCATCGCCCCTTGAGGACACTACCGCTGTTCTCTCAGCGCATCCCGGAGGTGATCGATCCCTTGCATGCACCCAAGAACGTTTCACCCGTGCAGGGCTTTTCCCGACTGGGATACGTACCTATTGACGGACATTGATTTACAACAAAAACTGACTCAGGTGAAAAAGTAAACAAGCTTCGAACAAAAAAAAAAAAGAGTTGCCACAAGACTAAAAATTAACGAACATCGAAAGCAGGACTACGGAGCATCTGCCACCAGTACCATAACCCCTTGTACCGAAACCGCGTAGTTACGGCGCCCCCACCTGCGAGTACCCCCCCCCGCCGCCAACGGGCCGCTTGTGCAGCACATTCGCATACCCCCTGTTGACCTCTTGCACCACCTCCGTCAGCACCCGAGCCTGCGCCAAGGCCGTCCCGGCTCCCGACCTCGCTACCAGGCTGTTGTCGTCCCCAGCGTCACGTGTTAGATAGATCGATGGGGCACAGGGGAATCCACGGGGTTCGCGGTGTGTGTGGCGGCAGTGGTGCACCGAAACCCAACGGTTGAAAATCATGGAGACGCCGGAGGCGGGGGGTGGGTACTCATGTTGTGCATACCTTGGCGGCTAGACCATGGGGTGGGGGCGTACAGCAGACAGGAGGTCCGACAATGCCACGACAACCGACGACGACGACGACGACGACGACGGCAACGGCCGCGCCGTCGTCAATACCGACAACCACTACCATCAACGGCAACAAGGTAGCACCTGAATTGGTTGTTGATGTACGCCTCGATTCTGGCCACCAGGGTAGCCTTCAGGCCCGTCAGCGACAACCCCGGGATCTTGCACACCTGTCGATAAACACAAAACATGCACACAACAGATCGAGACCACCGCCCCGCGCCTCAAAGCTGCGTTCCCTGCTGCTGAGACGAGTGTCCCTTGTAAGCTCCCACGGCGGCATATCGATCACCCATCGTCCTCAAAGGACACGCTTCGCGCGAACTTGCGCTTATGAGGAAACAGAACAAGGAGGGGAAGGGGGTACGCAGACCCTACAAAAACCTAACCCGACTTCCCCAATCGCATGCTTTGCCTAACATGTCTTCATGAACGGAAACCCTCGCGAAGGGTGCCGTCCTCAACCCTGTGTGTGTGTGTCCGTCCCATCTTATCCATCCTGGAGCCAGTCTCTAGACACGATCCTGGCAGCAGGCAAGACCACAAGACCAAATAACTCGCCTGCTCTAGCTCGTACTTCCTAAGCTTCTTGAGTTGCCGCAGAGCGATGCTTGTCGATTGCCTGAGACCATCCACTGTGAGAGACCTCCCCCCGGCCGCCGTTCCCCCCGCCCCCCCGCCCCCGCCGCCGGCCCCCCTGTAGTGCATCATGTCGTCTGCCTGCTTGTCCCCGCCCTCCCCTTCTGCTATTCCCCTGCCGTGTTGCCCTAGGCTAGGCTATTGAAGGCAAGGCCCTATCAGCGTTTGGGCTGACTCGGGGACCCGCTGTAGGCTGCCTCCCCCCAGATGCCCCTCCGCGTAATGAAAAGAAACGGATACCCCAAGCGTCAATTTCGCGCGTACAATCTGTCTTTCCGTCACGAAGAGAGAGAGAGAGCTACTAGCTCCCGCGTGCTACGAAGCGGCTCAGCCCCGATATCGCCGGTAGCTGGAGCCACTGTTTCTTCCGTCGGACAAAGGAGAGAGCTACCAAATAGCTCCCGCGTGCTGCGAAGATTGCCCAGCCCTGATTTCGCCCGCAACAAGAGCGTCACTGGGTGGCAATTACTCGAACGGGCTAGTTGACCTAGCAGGCACGGCAAGACAGGCAGGTACAACACAACGCGGGGGAGACGTTCGGAGCGTTGCGCTTCAGAGCAAGACAGGCAGGTACAACACAACGCGGGGGAGACGTTCGGAGCGTTGCGCTTCAGAGCAAGACAGGCAGGTACAACACAACGCGGGGGAGACGTTCGGAGCGTTGCGCTTCAGAGCAAGACAGGCAGGTACAACACAACGCGGGGGAGACGTTCGGAGCGTTGCGCTTCAGAGCAAGACAGGCAGGTACAACACAACGCGGGGGAGACGTTCGGAGCGTTGCGCTTCAGAGCAAGACAGGCAGGTACAACACAACGCGGGGGAGACGTTCGGAGCGTTGCGCTTCAGAGCAAGACAGGCAGGTACAACACAACGCGGGGGAGACGTTCGGAGCGTTGCGCTTCAGAGCAAGACAGGCAGGTACAACACAACGCGGGGGAGACGTTCGGAGCGTTGCCCTTCAGATATAATCCAGCACCGGCTGCTTCTTCTGGTCCGGGTCGAGAACATGGCGCAAAAGCATTCGACGTCCGTCTTGCATGGCCCACGACAATCGGGCAAGCAGGGTTTGTTGGAGCGGTGGAGGCAGTGTATTGGCAGGGCCGTTCTTTTCGAGGTCACAAGAGAGCTGGCCGGGTCGATCTCCTGTCGAGACGCAACTTTCACCACGCGATGGAAGCAACTCAGCACTGCTGTTTCCGCCCCGCCAGAATCTACTACGGCGGTGCAACCGTTTGTCCTTACTTCCCGACGGGACACAACTTTCTAGAGACGGAACCTTCGACGTGGTACGCTTCAGTCTACTTCCCGTGCTACTCCATTGTTCAAATGACCACCAACAATGGCCGGCCCGTGGGATTAGATGTGTACTCTATACACTCAACAGCCTCCCGTGAGCTGCTGTGCTTGGATACGCTTTGAAGCGCAGTTCGTTTTCACACACACAAGGGGAGCATACTACCAGGTGCGTTTTACGTGGACAGGCGTGTTGCTTCTGATAGGCTGACACCGCAGGTCATCGGCCAGATCTGGTGCGGGTCAGCCGTGGTCAAGCAAGTGCGGGGTAGTACGTGGGAAATTAACGCTCTTTCCGCCGGGGGCTTCGACTACACAGCAGTACGGAAGTTGCGGCCGGCGAACAAGAAACGTCAATCTGGGGTCGAGGCCAAACTTTCTCACAACCGTCGAGAATAGATCCATGACATAGAGTGGGATCCACGGCTGAGGTGTGCGTCCTGTAATCGCTCAAGGCCCAGCCTCATTTTCTCAAGGACAATACGGTGTTCTCGAGTGCAGGATGCTGTATTCGAGAAGATCTCAACGACGGCCTGTAAGGCTCAATCAGGGACGAATCTATATCACCTCTCTGCAAGGTTCAGATTTTTTTTATAGTGGCAGCAGAGGTACAGCAGCGCACCCAAGCGACGTTGGGGTCTTGGTCGATCATTACCTTCAAGCAAAAGCACCAGCGGCCTACACAGAGGCTTGGCATCCTGGCGATAATGATGTTCAACTGGCTACCTGGTTCAGCGGCCTAGGTGCTTGGCATCCTGGCAATTATGATGTTAAACTGGCTGCTGCGCGACGCGTTGCCGCAACACATCACACTCGGCGACGTTGCGCGGTTTACAGCACTCGGTTCACGCCCTGCTGCCCCAACCCATGTTGTCTCTGGGCAATAGTATCCGTCTCCTTACAGCAGTACTAATGTGGATGGGTAGGTGGGCGGGGTAGGCGTAAAGTTGCGTCATACCACATGCGTGTCTCGCTCGGGCGAATACTACGTATGTAACACACCCCAAACATGCGGCTTACTATTAGTCCATTGTTGTATTATATTATCTTGCAGTGTTGACCCCACGCTCTGTGGCAACATGAACCACGGCGAGGTACAAAATACTCAACAATGGCTTCATTCTTAGTGGGCAGTGGGCAGTTGTAGGACAACAGCGTGGAGCAGAACATGGCCGAGTCCTAACCCCTGCAACATGACACCGAACAGCAGCAGCAGCCCTTCGGTCTCGTTTTGGATACGAGCAGCAAATACTTCTGAGCAACAGCCACGCGGTCGGCGAATCGGATCGAGTGTCGACAGCAGTCGAAAGGTGTACAATATCGTCCCGCCGGCCCAGGTTCGCTGCGTAGGCTTCGAAACCACGAGGATTATCCAAAGGCTGCTGCTGCTTTTGCTGCAAGAGCGTCACTACTGTCACCATCCACGTCATGCCCCCCGCCCCCCCCCCGCCGCAGTCACAGCAGAAGTAGTGGAGATGAACGTACACAAGTATAATTCCTAGCTCTATGTTTGCTACAATATCTGTACGAGGTTTCGTACTCTTTTGGGAAACGCTAAGGATTGTTGGATGTGCTACACATCATATAGGGGATCAAAATTTCCCGCGTCGTGGCCTAGAGCACAGGCCCCCAAGCACGCAGGCGGTGTGCAGGGGGCAAGCGCGCCTTCACGACAGCTCACCGTTCACACGAAACGACTCTGCAGGTCGCTCCCCCTCCACGTCCCTCAAGTCTAGACTAAAGTAGGAGGCAAACCATCGCTCAAATATCAAGAGCCCCACCTATTGGCATCGGTGCTGGGGCCCCAACCCATCCGTCGAGAGCACAACAACACACCCTCAACACTCAAGTAAGACACAAAGGCTCTTACCTCGCAACTCGCCCACAGGAGCACGCCTTTAGGAATCCTTTTGTGTCGTAGCAGTGGCTGCCGGTGCACGCAGCGCACCTGTCTTGCTTCTAAAGCGCTTCAGGCGGGGATCTCCAGCTCGTGCTCAGACATGCCCGTATAATATTATGCATTTTGCGGAGCCCCCAGGTCGAGATGGCAAGAGATGGCATGATGCGTGCGATGGTCATAGTACGCACTTTGCACAGCTACGATGGTCACAGCCCCCGCCCGAGCCCTGTGCGCAGGCTTCATGTTGCAGGTTGTAGGCCTCCCGCTGGCGCGAGCGTTTTGTAGCTCGGCCCCTCGGCCGGGAAGGGCTTACAGAGGGGGACTGGCCGCCCTGGCTCTTCAACAGCAAGTCAGCAGCAGCAACAACAGGAGGTGTGATGCGCTCGCTCGTCGCACCAACAAGAGCGCTAGCGTGTGTGTGCGTTGAAGTGGGAGTAGGGGGCGGCTAGGGAAGGTCCATGACTCTTGTGGGGGCTTAGCTTTGTTGGGCGAGAGATTGCGACATGGTGCATTGACGTTAGTCCAGCGCTGACATTGCCACATGTGTCAGGTTGCGAGTTGTGAGACAAAGAGCTCCTCCGCTCAACACGTGCGACCCCTGTTTAGCCTATACCAGCTGTATCCCTCAGCATCTCCGTGGCCCGTGGGTTGTTTATCTTCCTTCAAAGGTGGAAGGCGCCGCCAACTACCGCTGTACTGCTGTTGCTTCAGTCGAGCCGACACTCCGTCACTGCTGTCGGCACGACACTGCGATCGGCATGTTCACACAGAAGATGTCAGCAGTAGTGCGGCGAAACACAGTAACAAACCCTCAACCAAGCAGCAATAGAACGCTGAGTACGTAGTGTCCGACGCGTTGTGTATGAAAGACACGTGCCAGGTGTTCGGGTGTGGTCATTTGGAGAGACAAGACGGGTGTCCTTTTTTGCCCCGCCAGGTTATTGCGTTAGATACCATACCCCCGGGACTAAATTTATATTTTACCGATTGAATTTTACCGAGGCTCGATTGCTCCAAGATGAAGGGGGTTTGTAGACACCACAGTTGATGGTGCAGTGTCGGAAAGCTCTCGACAAGACGGTTCTATTGTTTCATTCATTTTTGGATACCGCCACGCATGTATTTGCTGCAGAGTAATCGAGCTTTGAAAATCGGTCCAGTGGAGTGTGATGTGTTGCGTCACCTTGTGGAACAGGGCATGCAAGGGACCGCATTGCGAGAATGGAATACCCCCCCGCCCCACCGGACCGAAATCGCGCGATTCAAAGCATGCACAGAGCACAGCAGTACACGGCGGGCTACGTTGTGTACATGAATTAGTGTGGTCATCGTACAACCTATACATTCTTCATTGTGTTGGCTTCAGGAAATGTTTTTCCGCATGGAAACACATGCACGCGCTGCCGCCGCCGCCGGTGCCGCCGCCGCCGTCGCCGCCGCAGCAGCAGCAGCAGCAGCGATAGCATTGAAAACCTATGTATTATTCATTATGTTGGCTTCGCTAATTGCTTGCCGGCATGCATCCACATCCACGCGTTGCCGCCGCCGCAGAAGCAGCAGCAGCAGCGACAGCGTTGCCGCGAGGACGCCGGCAGGGCGGCTCTGCATGAGCACCGACGCGCCCCCGGCGGCCGAGAAGGCACCCGCCGGGATGGAGGAAGAGGTGCGATGCTGTCGGATGTTTTATTGTTGTTGTTGTTGTTGTTGTTGTCGTCGTCGTTGTTGTCTCAAGATAAAAAACCGTTCCTGTCTCCGCTCAGTATACCTTGTAATACTGGTCCTACCGACGCTGTTGGTGCGACGCGCAATTGACTGCTTCGCCTTTTGAGAGCACGGCAAACGCCACAGGGGGCATGTCACTATTAGCTGCTCGGTGATCATAGGATGCGAGTGGATCATCGCACAACACAAAGAGTTCATTGCAGACCCTTGTCTGTGGAAGAGATGGATTCGTTGTTGTGTTTTGAACTAAGAAAAAGAAGAATATAATGCCACTGCGCATGCAGACAGAACAGATCTGGAAACCCATTCGAGATTTTTATGAGTTTTGAGACTCGGAAAATTGCTTCAGGGTGTCGGCCGGTGCTCGTTGGCGAGGCCTCCGACACTCGCATACTCTTGAATCGAGCAACGCTTCTCGCACCTTAGGAGCTCGGACTAGGGGTAGATGATTCGAGACTGGGCTCATGGCTTTTCGTTTCGAAGGACCGGTATAACCATGGTGGTCGCCCCACGACGGATTGCACCAGAGTCCGATCAACCGAGCAGCAGTCGAGGCCTGGTTTGTGGCCTAGAATGGGAAGGCGGGTGGGGCTCTCTGGGCCTCGTTGGACTATGTAGTTGCAGTTCCCACCTTCGACGCGCGCTTGCGGGGCGCTTTTTCTGTGTTCTGGCTGGAGCATTAGCTGTTCTGCTGTGCCTACCACGTGATGGTGTTCTCATCGATAGGGGTTGCTTTTTTCTTGTTCCCCCTCCGTCCTCTACGTTGATTTGTTCCCCGTTCATGAGTGTTTGCATGTTGCCATTCGTAACCACGGAACGGCTACTCCCCCAACGATTCTACGCAACAGATGAGTAGTACTTCAGAAGTTAACTCTGCGACGGTCATGCACTCGCGCCGTCCAACGGCTACGCCACGTCCCTGCACACCATCTTTGGCAGCGGCTGTGCTCTTTTGTGTTCGGGAAAGGTCGACCAGCTGATAACCGTTTTTTTTTCATTGCAATGGGTGCGTCTTTTTTGCTCGGAAAAGGTCTCGATCACTTTACAGCCGCTTGTTTGTTTTTTTGACAACGGCTGTGTTTTTATTGTGCTCGGAAATTTTCTATCACTTGACAACCGATTTGTATTTGGCAACGGCAATGTTTTTTCTTGCTCGGAAAAGGTCGATCCAGGAGAGGTAGCCGGGCTGCGGATCCTCAAGTACCCGCATCCGGCGTTGCGAGCGGAGAACGAGGAGATCGAGGTGTTCGACGACGACCTGAAGAAGCTCGCCAGGGACATGTTCAAGGTACAGCTTAGTTGTTGTAAGGTACAGCTTTGTTGTTGTTCTTGTTGTTCTTGTTGTTCTTGTTTTTGTGTTGTTACGTCTGGTAGGTGCCAAAACCATGCTCAGGTGCCACCTTAACCCTCCTAGTACTTAGTCCCTTCGAAAGATATTGATTTTTTTTTGTCAGTCATTGGCCGAGAGCCTACAGTCCCTCCGAACAATCTGAGCTCCTTGCGAGGCAAAGGGTGAATGGGCTCCAGTATGTTCAGTACGAAAAGTGTCCCCAGGTTTTTTTTTTGGGGGGGGAACACTTTTCATTCTGAAGCCAGGTCAGCAATTTGTTCCAGTACCAGGCTATGTACAGTTTTACCACCTAGGGAACACGCGGCTTGGAAGATTGGAGTACTAAGCATGTCAGAGGCAGAGGAGAGGCATCACACGGCTGATGATTTTTGTCGCAGTTGTTGGATGAGGGGACACGCAGCTTGGAAGATTGGAGTACTAAGCATGTCAGAGGCAGACGAGAGGCATCACACGGCTCATGATTTTTGTCGTCGTCGTTGGATGAGGGGACACGCGGCTTGGAAGATTGGAGTACTGAGCATGTCAGAGGCAGAGGAGAGGCATCACGCGGCAGACGATTTTTGTCGTCATCGTTGGATGAGGGGACACGCAGCTTGGAAGATTGGAGTACTAAGCATGTCAGAGGCAGACGAGAGGCATCACACGGCTGATGATTTTCGTCGTCATCGTTGGATGTGTTTGTCCTTGTTCTCGTTCGCCGTCTTGGCGGGAGTGCCGGTGATGGTGATCGTGATGGCGTACCACTCGGTAGACTACTGGCAGTTTTTTTTTTTTTTCGTTTGCTGTCGCCAACCACGTTTTCTTTCGCCCTCCCTCGTCTCGTGGCTCACCGAAGCGCATGCGTTTACGTCTTCTCATGCCGAACAAACTACCCAGCTACCTCATATCCGTCCCCCCCGGATGCCATTCTTCAGGTCGTGGGTGTGATGTTGATTGAACCCGTTCATTTTTCTCTCGTGGTTTCTCTTGTGGTCTAAAAAAACTTGCTGTTGTAACGCTAATTTTCTCTCTCTCTATCGCGTCTTTGTCCCTCGCAAGATCATGTACGCGGCTAAGGGTGTCGGGCTGGCCGCTCCTCAGGTCGGAGTGAACAAGCGACTCATGGTCTTCAACCCGGGTGAGTGGGCGAGAGAGAGAAAGATCATCACGCTGGCTGTCCGACAGATGGACAGACAGACGGACGGATAGGCAGATAGACAGGCAGGCAGACAGATAGACAGGCAGGAAGGTACACAGGCAGATGGACAGACAGATAGCCAGACAGGCAGACAGGCAGAAGGGCAGACAGCCAGCCAAAAGAGCGGAAGTGATTTTGTCGATGGGGCGCCGGCGGAAATCAGGTTTGCGAGAAAACACGCCTGCTCGTGGAGACGGTCGAGCAGTCCGACAGACAGAAACTCGCCTGGGATTGGGATTTCGTCAGTAGGAAGTGAATGTAGCTGTGTCTCGTTTGTTAATATCGTGGGTTTGGATTTATTCGCTGTATGTGCCGACGGCATGGGCTAAGACAACGAGTGCGTACGGCCGCAAGCTCTGCAAAGTCTTCGATTGGGCGCGATGCAGATGACGGCACGACTTGAAGAACTCGGTAGTTTCGAGACAAAGTAGTGGCTCATGTTGGTGTAACTTGTGAGTTGTCACTTGTGAGAGGTAGCCCATATTGTGATACACAGCTGCGAGCCACATCCAAACCCACTCAACCCTAGATACCTTTTAGTCTACGTATCAGGGGACACAAGGAACCCTGCAGCAAAGTCTCTGGAGTATCGGATCGAAGTGTTCTTCAATGGCGAATCGATTGTCGAAACGACGGCTCACATTTGCCGGCAAAATTCCCGCCTCCCTTTTGTTTCTTCCCGTAATGCCGATGGCATTGTGCGGGGCAACTCACGGCACTCGAGGCACATGGTTTTGAATCGATGGGGTTCTCCCTGCGGCATTTTTGTTTGTTTTCCGCGAGCATCTGTGCGGAATCTCCACCGTTGATCTTCAAGCAATCAAAAGGAACAGGGTTCCCGCCCTCTACAGTGCGGGCGGTCCTCGAGGGCGTTTCGTGCTTGGGAAAACCCAGAAAATGCGAGAATTACGAGGTTTCTTTGAAGTTGTCTGTGGGTACCATTCGATGAGTGAACGAGGATGTCACGAACCCTCCCGATCACTACCGGATCACGCAGGCGTATTTGTGTGTAAGAAGTGTATCTCTCGACGGGAGGCGACATACATGCTTTCTACACCAGTCAATCGGTTTTAAGACATTCCCGACTTTTGTTGTCCCCTCTTCTTTGTCCCTTTCTTGGTCTTTTTTTCGTATTTTGGTGTACATTCCCTTTTCTCTCCTTTCTTCTTGTCAGAGGGCGATGCAAAGAACTGGCTGGACGAAGCTATCCTCGTGAACCCGAAGATCGTCGCCTCCGGAAAGGGGAAAATCACGGCAGAAGAGGGCTGCCTATCGTTCCCGGGGATGGAGGGAAAGGTGCCCCCCCCCCCCCCC